TCATTAGTTAAATGCCCGCATTACGGATACAGTGAACCAAAATTTTAGTCCCTTGAAGGTTCACTATAACCGGGTTTGACTGTATATATATATATGTATATATATATATGTATGTATATATATATATATATATGTATATATATATGTGTATATATATATATATGTATATTGCCATTATTCTGGGAAAACACCTGGCGTATAAAAAATAATTTTGGCTCAAATTTTTAACCTCTCACTTGACTGAATTTTTAGAAATAACTAAATTATAAATTATTTGAATCTGGTTTCATAACATGTCTAACACTTCATCTAACAGATTTCATCTGTCTTCATTGTTGTTTAATTAGAATTTAAAGGCTACCCCTTAAATCACGAAGATTGCATGTTAGTACAAAATGTATTTTATGAGCCCCATTTTCTTCTTCTAGTATTTTGCCATTCTGTAATTTAAAATGTATTATATTTTAGAGCAAAAGATGATTTGAAAAAAAGAAACTGATCCTTTTAAAAAGAAGGTTCTGGACGGTAGGCAATTAGCTTTGAAAATAAGTGCTAACAGTGTATATGGGTTTACGGGAGCTCAAGTTGGAAAATTACCCTGTTTGGCTATTTCCCAGGTATGAGGCAGAACTATATTATATAATTTTATGTACAATTTCAGGGGTCTGTCCAGGCCGAATTTACTACCGTTTAGCGGTACCTTCACAAATTCAACTTCAGGAAAAACGGTAGTTTCACAAACTCAACTTTAGGAAAAACGGCAGTTTCACAAAATACTTTTTCTTGAAATTTTATTTTTTTATCCCTTAAAAAACAATAAATCCATATTTTTGTGTTGATTTTTTAATACGTTTTTTAATTTTTCACAAATTATGTTTAAATTTTCACAAAATAGGTACCTCTCAGAAAAGCCTAGACAGACACCTGAATTTTTATTCTGGTTTAATCTCACATAAAGTTGTTAGATGTCATACTGTTTGAGGTAGTATTTTCTGTACTTAAGTTTTTCTTCGACAAATTATTTAATTTTCATTTACTTTTTTTTTTTAAATTTTAAAGACAGTAATTAAATTTTTTTTTTACCTCTATTTGCAGTAGATAAAGCTGACTTTCCTAGTTTATTTATAACAGAAATGTTCATATAGGAAATGTTTTGCAGTAAATAATCTGAAAAAATATCTAGTATTTTTTTTACCACAGGAAAAATAAGAAAATGTAATCCTCATCATCATCAATGACTTGACAGCCCAGGGTGGGCCTTGGCTTTCTCAAGAAGTTTTTTTCAGGCTAGCCTTTTTCCTGCTAGTGTTTTCCAGTTTTTAAAACCAAAAGGTCTTTTTCTAGGCCACCTATCCATCTCAAATTCAGCCTGCCTCTTTTTCGTGTGCCAACTGATCTGGCATCGAAAACTCTTTTTGTGGTACGGTCTTCGTCTATTCTGATAATGTGGCCTGCCCATTTTATTCTTTGTTGTTTAATAAAGTTAATGTCATGTTCATTATATAAGTGATAAAGCTCTAGACTTGATCTTCTAAGCCATACACCATTTTTTTTTTAAATTCCTCCAAATATACTTCTCAAGACCTTTCTAGGAAAATGTAACAAATAAAATAAAATAAAAAACTAAATATATCTGTATATTTTTCCTGTGTATCAAAAATTGATATACAGAAAGAAGCCAAATATCCCAACATTGTTGGAATATCTAAAATGTTTTTTTTTTTCTTTTTAATAAATGCAGTTTAATTTACTAAGTGTTTTTTTTTTACCATTTTATCTTCTCTATGAGTATCTTACAAAGGTTACTTTCTTAATATTATTTAGTGCGACTGTTAAAAATATTTAAGATTTAAAAATAATACATATTTTTATGCAAAACTATTATTATTTTTTTCAATTTTTAAGCAGAATTGTTAATAACACAATTATTAAGACTATTTTTATCACTTATTTTCAAATATTTGAAGCTTTATGCTAGTTTTTATATCTTATTGGAAAAGCGATAGAAAACTAAGTACTTGTTTATATTTATAATAATCAGTACAAAATGAAATTATAGGAATTTTGTTTGTTTATTACAACAAAATGTTTTAAATTCACGCTTAAAATTTTGCAAGCTCATGTCCTAATATATATTGTATAAATTGTGAGGCTTAATGAAACATGGAATTTTAATTATTTATTATGTGCTCAAATAAGTGCAAAAAAAACATTTTTATTAAAAAAAGTGCATGTATACAGCTTGCTGTTCTCTTTGGATTTTGATTATAAAATATCACTGTTTGTGTAGTGAAAAAAAAATGATAACGGAAAGATGTGTTTCCTGTTGACTATTAACATTTTATTAGCCTGTTACGAAACACTTGCAAAAGAAAATCTCCTGAATTTCAACTACTATTTCCAATATCATCTTTTGAAGTAACAAAACAGTTTGTGTTATTTCATAATGAAAACATATATACCACCAGCTAATGCATGCTAATATAAATGTTTAATAAAAATAATTTTTCTGTGCTTATTTGAGAAAGTTACAAATGTTCAAAATTTCCCATTTCCCTAAATCACATTGCAAACACTGCAAAGTATATGAAATACTGTAATTAATAGTTTTATTCTGAAATGCCAATGTATTAATATTTATTATTCAGAATCAACTGGTTTTTCATGTTTTATGTATTTGAGTTTTGTGAACATTAATTTTGGATGAATTAAATAGAAATCAGATGGTTGTATTTTAATATTAGAAATCAATCTACAGGCTTATTCAAATTATCCATAAGAAGAAATTTGACTGTGTACTACTGTGCAAACTAATCATATTTCTTTATGCATTTAAATGAATAATACTGTCCAAAAATAAGCTAGCTATTTTTTTGTCAAGTTTATTACCTAAAATTTGCTTATAATCTCTCTCTTTTTTAAGAAAAAAAATTTTAAATATTTTTTATGGAAAAATTATAAGTATTTATTTGAACACTCTTCCTAACATAATTATAGCTATAGATTTGGGGAAAAACTAGCATACCCTCATTAAACATTTAGGAATTTCCTTTTCTTTCTTTCTTTCTTTTTTTTTTAAAAAAAAAACCTCCTTTGCCATTTTTCTTCCATGCTTTGCATTTTTTTTTCTCTACCCATTCTCTTACCTCCCATTTTTCTCCCATTGTATTTGTTGTAGTCTGATGAAAGAAGGCTTGTTCTTACCCAAATGTATAACTTTCTTCTATTTATTTTGTGTATGTGCATGGTATCTGAAGTTTTAATTTTTTTTAAATGCTTAAAGGTTCAGTGAAATGTGAAAAGTTCTTAAAATTTTTGTTTCTTAAAAGCCCTTAAAATGCCTTTTTTATTGGGTGTTTTTAAAAAGTGCTTTATTTTCCTTTTGGAAAATGAAAACGTTTTCTTTACCCTGTCGATTTTTGCCACATATTATGCAAAAGTGTGCTTTTCACATTGTTCTATTCAACGTTTAAGCAATTTATTGGACCACAATCCATTTTGGCTTACACTTGGTCCGTAGCATTTAAAAGCGGCGGTCATTTTACTTATTTAATGAAATACTTTGGATTCCGTAAGTGCGTCTACTTGCGGAATCTTGAAGAGCTTGGTTTGATGAGATTATTGCCCTCGCACGTGCAACTCTGTTGCGTTTTGCGAGATATTCTCAATTTCAGGCTTCATTTTCCTCCCTTTGATATCGAACCAAAAAATCTCTCGATCTTTTTATAATGGCTCATATAATCAAGAAACTAGTTATTTTATCATGATCATGTAAAGTCTCTGAAAATTATTTTGTTAATGCATATATAGCTTAAAAATACCTTTTGAGTGCTTAAGAAGTACTTAAAAGGTGCTTATTTTTTGTTAAAAGAATTGGCTTCGCATTCTCTTAATGTTAAGTGTAACCCACTAGATAATGTATAATATTTTCTAATTTATTTCAATAAATTTTAAAATATTATGTATATATATATTTATAAATCAATTAATAGTGCTTTTTGAAAAACTGTAACAAATATATGAAGTTTTAACTATTATGTAAATTAGAATTTGATATCCGATTTTATGGAGTGTGACGGCATTTGGTCGTATGATGATTGACGAAACAAAGAGACTCGTTGAGGAGAAGTATAAAGTAGAGAATGGCTATTCTCACACAGCCAAGGTCATTTATGGGGACACTGATTCCGTGATGGTCAATTTTGGAGTCAAAACTGTGAAAGAAGCTATGGACCTAGGAAGAGAAGCAGCCAATTTCGTTTCAAGTCATTTTGAAAAACCCATTAAACTGGAATTTGAAAAAGTACTTTTTTTTTATCCATTTTGATTACTTTTTTTTTCTGTAAATGATATTTTATGTTGTCAGTTATAAAAAAGTTAAAGTTGTATATGTTATGTGTATCGCTACTACAATATCTGATACAACAATAACTCCGTTTGCTACAATAATGTTTGGTGGTCCCGACGAACATCCATATGAATTAATGTTATCCACCTCTCAATATTGTGATATTCTCTGAAGCAATAAACCCCCGTAAAACAATTTTTTTTCTTCGAAATTTCAACCTTATTTTCCCCATATATTACTGATTTTCAAGTAATGGAAAAAATCTTATTTGATCTTATTTTGCCATTTTTTTTCTGTCATGAGAAGACTCACTACTGATTATGTCTTATTTCTTTTCACCACAGTGAATGGCTTTTGTATTCAGATTTCAATACTCCATCCTACATAGACCACCCCCAAGACCTTCCATTCTTAGAATTGCCTCCCTCATCTCTTATGCAACATTTCTACCTGATTTCATGTTTAACCATAATAACTACTCTGCAAACTAAATTTTTATTTAATTTATAAATAGATTTATAGTTAATACCTATATAGCATTAAAATTTTTAAAAAAATCTTATTGTGTCCCCAAAGTATGTATCCAAGTAGTATTGATATAATATCTCTCCCTACAACAATATATTTATTTGGTCCCCAAAATATTGTTGTAGCAAGATTTTACTGTATATATGTATATAATATGGGATTAGTGGGGCTAATTCCAGTGAAAGAATAAGAATCATATCTAAACTGAACAATTTAACAACCAAAAATATATATATAGTATTCAAGAGTTAACAATTTTTTTAGGGCATGCCTACACGCAGTGGCCCGCCCACACATTACATCTACCACATAGTCTCAGATTAGTTAAGTTTAATTCGCTTATACACCCTCCAGCAGCATTTTCCTGGAAAGTCTAATGTAGGACCGAATCCCATAGCTCAGTCTTCCTGCAACTTACTGCCCTCAGCAACAAATCCTGGCGTAAATCACCTAACTAGCATTCCCTCATATGCCACTCCAACAATAGTTGTTTCTGATACTGGCAACTGATTTTGGGAGATGATTTTGACAACTTATAGTTTTCTGAATATATAAATAGAATATGTAGAACAAATAGAACATATGCAAACAAATATTAATTAATGTTTTTTGTGATGACACATCTGTATGTATTGTCTACTCAGACATCTGACATGTATTGTATGCGGTTCTCTTGGATCTTCAAAATATTCATTTTTGCTTCTTCTCGGACGATCTCTCCGTCTTGGTAAAGGACTTTATGTTCTCTTCTTCTAACATCTTTATTTCTTTTTCTCTTTATTTCTGATTGTTCAATACCCATCTTTACAAATTGTTCCAGAAATCTTCCGTAAAATTTTCTTTTTCTATATTCTTAAAGGATCAGAACCTCTTTTAGTTAAAAGACCAGTTCTCCAGTTCAATATTTTCTCATAAATTCTCAACAATGTTTGTAAAGGGAGGAAAAGGAAATCACAGACGCTGTAGAATATTGATTGATTTTCCTTTAATTTTGTGCATTTTAAAGTCTTTATTCAGCTGTAAAAAAAACTCTGATCACTTCATTTCCACATTAGTGAAGCAGCATAGTATAAAAGGAATTATGATTTCTAGCTCATAATACAGAAATGATAAAGACAACAATGAATTTCATGTTGTGTTTCTAAAAGGTTAAGGGGGATATACTTAAATACTATCTAGTATTTTTACGATTTTTTTTATGTTGGATGGAGTGACTAATATAGACAATATTTATGTTTTATATATAAAAGTGCAGTTTTTTATTTATATTTATTTACGTATCTAACATTGCCCAGTAGGCAAGTGAAGTATCGTTACTTATACCACTTTATGCAACTGACATTGCTATCTAAACAAGTGAGGCATTTCTTCAAATTTAATTTTTTACGCTTAATCCAATAAAATGGTCATTTGAAATAATAGTTTAGAAGCAATGAGGGTTTAATGTATGAAATATAAAATTTTTGACTTACCTTTTACTCATTAAATATTTATAGCATTAAAACTGTTAGAGCTATCAAATCAATTCTATTTCTTTTTTTAAATTTTTCTAAAAAAAAAAAAAAAGCATAATAAATCTTACTTGACTTTATTAATGCCCGATTTGACTATTCAACAATGTCTCAAATTTCATTGTTATATAATTGTCATAAAATTAATTTACATTGCATTAACTGCAATTATTATCAAGAATATCACTTTTACAAAAGGCCAATTTTAAAAAAAAGAAGAAGAAAAATTTTAAATGCAAGAGGATTGGTTTTCATGAATTCAATGTCATACATACAATTTATTATTGTAAAATTTAAAACATTCATTATTGGTATAAGATAATTGAATTAAAAATTTTAGGGTATATTTTAGGACATACACTATATAAATTCAAATTTACTAATAACTAGAAAAATTTTTATTAATACTATCAATATCTTATTGAGAACTCTTTCTATTTACCCTATTATTTTTGTTATAGGCTTTAAACATATTTTGTATTCTAAATAATACAAGCATCAATTTAAGAAATAAAACATTTTAGAACATTATTCATTTACATTTTTAATTTTTTTTTTTTAAATTTCAATCATAAAAACAATATTACATCTATTTCATTCTACACCAGACAAACCTTACAGGGTTCCACAAAATATGTGAAATAAAAGAAAGAAATCATTATCATGATAAAATTTTACCAACACTTTATTTGAATAAAGGAGATTAAATACCATTAATTTGAAATCAGTTAAGCCTTCAGGTATCCCTTAGAAACTTATTTTAAGTTTGATAAATATTTTGATCATAGTTCAAAGATTATTATCTTTGCTTTTGTAGTTTTAATGTTAACTTTGAATAATAATGATTCCCCTATTTTAAAGGAATTTTATGAGGTTTTTGGTGCTTTTATGTAATGTTCTTATATTGAATGTTACCAGGTCATTACATTGTAAAAAAAGGAATTTAATAAATATTTTTGTGAATTTATTTAGGTTTATTATCCCTATCTGCTGATCAACAAGAAGCGATATGCTGGTCTTTACTTTACAAGACCAGAAACCCATGATAAAATGGATTGCAAAGGAATTGAAACTGTGAGAAGAGATAACTGTCCTTTGGTTGCAAATCTCATCAATTCTTGTTTAAAGAAACTCCTTATCGACAGGTTAGGAACCTTCTAAAAACTTTTTACTTTTTCTTTTTTTTTTAAAATAGCATTTATGTACCAAATTTGTTTAATATGATTGGGAAACAGAGAGTGTAAGGATAAAAATAAAAGAGAGTTTTAAGTATTTAATAAAATTAAATTTTTAAAAATTGCTGTTTTTCTAGTAAATAAAAAAAAAGGGAATTTTTTTTATTTATTATTATTTATTTTTTTTTTTTGACAGACTGGAACTGTTGGGCGTATCATTTTTTAAAGATATGGGGAAGGAATTTTAGATGGTGATAGTTTAATTATTTTAATGATGAATATGGTGTTAACTGTTTTTCTTTAGGTCCGATTAAAAACAAAATAATTTTGGCATTTTTTTATCTGTTGGTTTAAGTCAAATTTTTGATTGGTAGTAAATTTTCTTGCACCATGCAGAAGCAACTGTAACTTGCATAGCCCCCTAGCACAGAGTTCTACCTGAAATTTGAGCTTTTTAGCTAGTCGAATTGTCGATTTACATTGAATTCTATTTCGATAAAATGACTAAATTCTGCTTGTAAATGATCGAGAAGCAACTGTCACTAGCATCCATTTTGGGTGTCATAGAGATTTTATGCTATTTGGAAAATGGTAAAAATTTCAGTTGTAAAATGAAACGCATGCACAAGGATGAATTAATAAAAACATTGTGATAACTTTAGTAGAAAAAATATAGATCCATCTCATCACATATTCTGTGATGTGCAGTGCGAAAAAAACATAAACATCCTGAAGTTTTGATCTAACAAATTGATGCTTATTAGGAGTAAATTTTGTGTATTCAAGAACCAATCCTTAAATATGATAGTGAGTTAGTGCATATAATATTTAAAGTTTTAAAATCAGATGCAAAACATCCTTTTTTGATTAAGCACACACACACATATGTATATACACATAGCTGCCAACTCTTTCGGTTTTCCCAGAAGATTTTATTTTTATATTTAAAGCGGTAGTGAAACTCATATTATTCCATTAAACTTATGAATTATAATAATAATTATAAATGAGTTTGACCACCACTACATATAACTTTAACTACAAATATGAAAAAACGCAATAGTCTTTACGATAGAAGGCTTCAACCTAATCAAAATATAAGTATATTTTTGAGTAAGATTGTTTTTCGGTAATTGTTTTACAACCACTTCGAAAATCCATTCTCGGAAAGAGTGATAGTTGGTAGGTATGTATGCATATATATTGAAAGATTTATATTCTTGACCCTCAGAATAAAGAGGTGGGTTTGCAGCAATCTGAAAAATTATGTGCCACTAGTTTAGGCAGGAAATTAGTTGGTAGTTTAGGCCCCTTAAAATTTATTTCGATTTCTGCGTACTTCTCCATATCAGAGATCTCTCCATATAAAGCAAATCAAAAGTATTCTGTAAAATGATTATGAAACTTGTTTATCCAATTCCATGCAAAAATGTATTTTTAATAATTATTAATTTACCTTTTGTTGATTAATTTATAAAAAATTTAAAAAAAATTTTAATTCTGAGGCATACAAAATGTGACATCAATTTATTGGTTTAACATCGAAGGATTCAAACTTTAGATTGTTCTCATACCTAAACTATTGAGATCCTATTTTCTCCTTCATGATCTGGGTCAAAAATCTGTTGTGGAAAAAAATTATATTTATTCAAAGAAAATACATTTTTGTATCTGATGCCATTATTTAAAATATCATCTTCCCTAATTGATTAACATATTTTTGATTAGGCCTTCAAACAACTTAGAGGGACTCCTATTCTATACATGTAAATCCAATTATTAGATCAAATTTATCCAAGGTGTTAACTATTTTGCTCACTATACACATCAATTTATCTACTTCTTTTAGTTAAAAGATTGATATCAAATAGACTATAAGGTTTAGATTATTTATTAAATTCGTATTAGGTTTTATTGGATTTTATTTTACATGCAGAAATATTAGTGTATAGTAAGATATATTACCATATTTTTATAGTTTATTGCCAGTTTTGTTATGTAGTATTAATTGATTTTAGGGATCCAGAGGGTGCTTGTGATTATGCCAAACAAACTATAGCAGATTTGCTTTGTAACCGAATTGACATATCACAATTAGTTATTACCAAAGAGTTGACAAAAACAGATGAAGAATATGCAGCTAAACAAGCTCATGTTGAACTGGCTCATCGGTAAGTTTTAAAATGTACTCTTAATGAATTGTAAATTTTAAGTAGGTTATCGTGTATAGAACCTATTTTCTAATGTTTCATTTCACTTTTTGAATATCCTCAAAACAACATGCAATGATGATTTGAATTGTACATGGGATGTTCGATGCAATGTATAAAACTTACAGAACATTACATCATTGAGAGTAACAAAATAGTTATCCATTCTTTTATTTCCAAATTGTTTTTATAGTATTGATGTGCAATAATATGTGAAACAAAATAAATTTGCTCAGTTATTTTTCATGTTGATATGTCTAAACCACAAATAAAATACAGTTAGCTCTTTGCTCCTTTGTAGTAAGAAAGATATATTTAAATTTGATTGTACTGCCATTTAAAGGCAAATTTTTCAACGTGTAAGAAAGATTTTTTGTAAATTTATTTCTGTTGGGGATCATATTAGTAACTGAACACAGGTATGTGATTCTTCCACTAATTTTATTTTATAACTGTCGTTGAACAGCCAACCCAATTTTGGGTTTATGACTACTGATGTTCAACTCTGTAGCCTTGTAATTTTGAAACGAATCCAGAAAACAAGGAAACTCATGGATGAAGTATTGTGGTTCACCTCATTGGAAGGCGAACGCTCTATCACCTGAGCCACCATGGAGATTAGCGGAATTTTGCTAATCTCAAGACTGTTAATTCACAGATTTCTGAGAATCTATTTATATTTCAACAATATTTTTTTGGAGTTCTGCTAATTTAAAATTTAATTTTCGTAACCTTTGTGAAATCTCGTTAAGAAGACTTTTATTCTGCCCTTACCAGCACTCAATTTTTTTCTTCCTAAGTTCTTATTCCTATACGATGACAACTTATTTTATGCAGATTTGTTAGAGAAAATTCAACTTTGGATGAACTTCAAGAAAGTGCAACAAAAAAATATCCAGTTGGAATTAATGAACTACTGAGGCGAACACAAAAGTATTAAATTGATAATCTAAAAAGTAATTCTGAAATGGCAGCCATTTTAAAGATTGTTGGCTAGAAAAAAAGGATTTTTTTTTTCGTTTTAATGAGTAGCGATTTTGCTGCAAATTCCGAATTGTAACAGAAGAATTATTTAATCAATGTAATGTATTTGCCTTCTTTTATATTTGGCTACAAGTTGATCAAATTAATTTTTAATGTGATATTACGAAATGGAAATTTCATATCATGCATTTCAGTAATCACTTTTCAACACGCTCGACGTCATCGTGAATCTGTGTTTCAATCTTCTTTTTTTTTACGGTTAATTCAATTCATTTTCTCGTGGTTTTTGAAATTCCAATATCATTAAAATGCACAAAATTTGAATTGCACATTTGAATGATCACTTTTTGATACGCTCGATTTGTATCAATACCATTCTAAATTCGTGTGGTGTTTCGATTGTTTTATCAGCTGATTATTGTTACGAATTTTCTCCATTTTTTAAAATTGATGTAATGTTTATGTATTATTATTGCGACACTCAAAATTCAATTCGTGAGTTGCTTTTTTATGCAATGATTTTTTCGATCAACTTTTTCATGCTACTGATATCCACATATTTTTTTAAATCTCAATATTTTTGTACGATGTTATTAAGAAATTGGAATTTCACATTTGAATAGTTACCTTTTTTTAACATGCTGGATTTGCCCGAAATCCATGCGGCATTTCAATCGACTTTTTTGACAGTTTTTGCAGTTGATTTCCACATGATTTATTTCGTTGTTATATATTTATTTATCTTTATGGTTTTTTACTGTTATTTCCCCTTTTCTAGAATGAAGAAACGTGATCCAGGAAGTGCACCAAATCTGGGAGACAGAGTACCCTATGTTATAATCGCTGCAAGTAAAAAGACGGCTGCTTATTTGAAATCTGAAGATCCAATTTATGTGTTAGAAAATAACATTCCAATTGATACACAGTATTACTTAGAAAACCAAATATCTAAACCATTGTTACGAATATTTGAACCAGTGCTTGGTGAAAAAGCAGAATCTATTCTTCTCTGTAAGTGTTTCTTATAAATATTTTTGTTTTATTCTCATTTTGAGTTGATTCCTTTTTTCCTGACAAATTTAAGGTTTATAAATGTATTATTGTTTTTTTCCTTCATTTGTGTTGTACATTATTTATTGTAATCTTAAATGTGTATTTCAAAGAACTGATAGGTTGTATTATTTTCTGTTTCTTGTTCAAAATTTCTTTAAAATTAAATTGCGTCCTGTGTCTCTTTTATTTTTTTGTTTATTCACTTGCAAACTAACAATGAACTACTATTTTTTTATTAGTTTATAATATTTTTTTATTTATATTTTTGGTATACTAGTGAAATATGAAAGTAAATAAATCAGCAAAATAATATAATAATAATTAGCTCAAAAGGGGATACACTAATTATATGAGTTATTATCTGTTATTAGCAGGATTGTTGATTATTCTGAAAATTCTTTTTCTATAATTTATCAGGATGCGTAGCGTTTTTAAAAAGTGCTTAAAGGTGCTTATTTTTCAGTTACATTTTTAAAAAGCCTTTAAAGGTGCTTTTTTTTATTCGGGGTTTGTAAAAAGTGCTTAGTTTTCTATCTTTTAAAAAGAGATTTTTTTTCTTCTTTGCCATGTCGGTTTTCATTGTAAATTACAAAAGATGCATGATTTTCACAATTTTCTCTGCAATATTTATCAGAAACTAGTTATTTTATCTTGATAATGTAATGTTTTTCCAAATGTTTTTGAATTTTATAGATTTTATGTTTATAAATTAAGAAATTTTAACGATAGAAAAAAATAATTTTTATTACTGAACAGCCTAATTATGAATTTTTTTTTTTTGGAAAGTGATTATAATTATTTTTTGAGTGCTTAAAAAGTGCTTATTTTATGTCTGTATTATGTATTATTTCCCTTTTATGTTGAAAAATCTGGCCACGCAACCTTTTTATGTGTATGTTAGTCATTGAATATATCTTTTCCTATATGTTAATTGTACAATATGTATAAAAATATTTTTCAATTATAGGTGGTGACCATACACGTACAAAAACTATAGTTACATCCAAAATAGGAGCTTTGTCAGCTTTTACACAGAAGAAAAGTACCTGCCTTGGCTGTCGATCAGTTTTAAAAGCAGGTAAATAATATTTTGCAGCAACTTACTGATTGAAAGGACATAAGTCTGACTTTTTAAATTATTAAATAATGTAGACTTTTTTTTCTTAACATTATAGTTTAGTTTTTTTTTTCCTTCATTTTTTATTTTAGTGATCTAGTTGTTGACTGATAAAATTGTTTGGGTGCTCGTATCTTTCATTTAGATGTCAATTTTGTTTTTTATGGTTGATACCAACATGCTCTGCAGCAACTCTTTGTACTTTGGTCTCATAATTTTGCTTTTAATATTTTCTTTACTATTTTGTATTATTTTTCATTCTGAATTGGTTTATGAATCAACAAATAAAATTCTACTTTTTTGATGTAGTGATAAACTAATACCTACTTGTTTTTGTTTTAGATGATTCAGTTTGTGAACATTGTAAATGTAAAGAAAGTGACATATATCAAACTGAGGTAAATATAGAATGATTTAATTTGTACCCATGAAAAAAAATTATTTAGTGGAAGTGTTATGTGATGATCATTATGGATAGAGTCCAAATTATTTAATGTAGGGAGAGTTGGATTAAATCAAGTTGGTTTTAAGTTCAAGTTGGTTCGCAGTTTAAACCAATGTGGTTTAAACAAAAGGTTTTTTTCTTTAAAGAAAAAACAAAAAAACTTTGTTTTCTTTAAAAAAATTTCTTATAATTGAAGTTTCTACTACTTATCTAAATTCTTCCAGTTACAATGGTAGCAAAATGAAAAAAGATGCTTTTTGCAATTTTGAGTTTAATTGATAATGGGAATCAGTATTATGTAACTGCCAAACATTCTATATTTTGCAAAAGCTTATTTTATCCATTTTTTACCCCCCTGCCTGATAGCTCGTATTTTCTTTGATTCAGACGTCGTCCTGCTCTTGTCTTGCCCGTTTGCTGCAATTTTCCCTTTAAGGCATGACGTAATGGATTTCATCTCCTCTCATCTACCAATAAGGAAAAAAATTAGGCTTCTTCTTCGAAGAGCTCCCCATTATCACGTAACTTAATGTTTGCCAATGCTTAAAAGAAAGTGGAACGTGTAAAAATGAAATAGCGGTGGATTTGCAGTTGAAATATTTATTTGCTCATTCGATTAATCTTGTTAATTTTTAATTATTATGGCTGAAATAAATCAATACATATAAGTTTTTTAAGAAGACTTATTCTCTTGAGTTTCCATTTATTTCTTGATCGAACCTTGGAGTAATGATGTACATTGTGACGTATGTTAAAAATGACTTTAGTATTGTGCATGGCAGTAGGGCTGATATAGTCAGACACTTAAAATCAACAAAACACCAGAAGAACAACGAATTTTTTGGTTCAACAGTGAAGATAGTTTCTTTTTTTCGAAAGAGTATTAATGAGGAAGCCATTATAAAAGAAACAAATGCTGAATGTCTCTTCACAACATTTTAGTAGATCATGCTGGAAACCTTTTTAAAAAGATGTTTCTCGATTCTGAGAATTATAATTATGGCAGAATTCAGAGTGCTGCTATAGTAAATGAGATGGCCAATGAACTTCAAACAGGGTGCGTACAGACTCCTTATACTCCTTGGAAATGAAAACGTCTCCAAGGAGTTCTTGGAGCTACTTAGATTTCCAAATTAGTCCTTAGAACCTCCTTAGATTATTGTGTTGCATAGATGACCTTACTAAGTCTGCTGATGAATATGCTGTCCAAGCAGGGAAACTAAATGATATATATGAATATGACTTATCTGTCAAAATCTAATAGTTGATGAAAAACTTAAAAAGACAAAAAATTGAATTGCAAGAATTAGAAGTTAAAAAATAGCACCAATAATTTTAATTTTGCATGTTACAAGCAAACTTAATTAATAATTTACTGTGATTTTTTTTTTTTTTTTTTTTGTATAAAATACCTTAGATTTTCTTATGTATTCAAATTTAAAAATGTAAGATTGGTAGGTTTTTATGTTAATCTTTAACATCTGTACTTTAAAAAGATTTCTTAAAATATTTGAAACTGGAAAATGTATTTAAGTATAAAAGTGATAACTTTATATATTTTTCTGGGTGAAGTTTGACAAAGTCAAAATTTATTTCAAAAGGGCAAGAAAAAAATATGTAAAATATACATTTTTGCAAGTTCCGTATAATAACTACTTTTTAATTTAAAAAAAAAAAAAAAAAAACTGTCTGGTTATTCTTTTACACAAAGTTTTGAAATTTAAAAATTTTGGACTCCTTGGATTTTTTTCTTCTCATCTCTGTATGAACCCTGTTCAAATAATGAAATTGAATGATCACAATGAAATTAAAAAACGCTGCATTTTCTAGTGCAATTGATGGGACAAATGACTCTGACTCGAAACTTCATCCATTAGTGGTGATATTTTTTGATGAATCAATTGAAAAGATATGAAGATGTGTTTTAGCATTTATTGTTAAAGATGGTTGTATTGGAGTTAAAATGCAAATGGTGTATTAAACATGTTGAACAGTCTGGACATTCTCTTTGATTAATGCAAAAAGAGCTATTAAAACATCTTTGCAAAATTAATTTTTTTAATTATGTAATTTGTTTTGCATTAATTCTTATAAGTTTATATAATATTGCATACTATAGATTAAATGTTATGTTGTAATTACACTAAATAATGTTTATATGATACTTAAAATATTATACTTTTCCAAGTAATGAAGAATTAATAAATGAATATTATTCTGCCATCAAGTAGCTAGATTTGCCCGAAATCTATGC